CTATTATAGGTATTATTTAATTTACTTTTTTTGTTTTTAATAAACTAAATAGTTATTATTAAAATAAATAGTTTAATTCTTTTGTTTATAAAGAACTTCTTTTTTTATTATATTAGTTTTTCTAGTACTTTTAAATATAAGTTAATTTTAAAGTTACTTAAGCTATTTATAGTCTTTAGTTATATAACTAGGCTTCTTATAGTTATAGTATTTAAAGTCTTTTAAATTCTAGTAGTTTTAATAAAGCTTTTTAATTATAGTACTAATATTTATAAGTCTATTATATTACTTATAAGAAGTACTTAGCTTACTATATTATTAGTTATTCTATTAGTATAAGTTAAGTTATAAGTTCTTAAGTTCTTATAGTATATACTTTTTACTAGTATTTAACTAAAAGTAATATATTTCTTTTTTTTTCTTTTTATTATTTATACAGTCTAGTATTAATTCTAATTATAATTTCTATATATTCTAAGAAGTTATTTAGTTAATTAAGCTTAAATAGCTTATCTTTTACTTTTTCTTTAAGTTTTTAATAGAATATAAAGATCTTAGTATTATTAATATAATTAAGTTATATATAAATTCTTTAGAACTTTATAGTATAATTAATAATTAATTTAGTTTATTTAAGATTTACTTAGTCTTATTTAGCTTATTATTTTTTATTTAGGTCTTAGAATAAGGATTTTAAGGTATACTTAAATCCTATAAAGCTTTTAAAGATTTACTAGGTCTTTAGGTTATAGTATTTTAGTATTTTATTATCTAAATAGTCTTTTAAATAAAGTTTAAACTAAGAGAAGACTTATTCTTTAAAGAAGATACTTATATAAATAATTCTTTTTATTTCTATATAAAAGTTACTAAAGTAAAACGTTTAGTAAGTCTTAACTTATATTAAGAATCCTTTAAGCGTTTTAAGGGTCTTATTATAAGTAGTAAAGGAATTAAGCTTAAGTTTCTTTTATTTATTTACTAAAATTAAACTAATGTTAATAATAGCTTAGAGAATATAAACTTTTTTTCTAAGGTTATTAGTTTATTAAACTTTAGCTTAAAGTTAGTTAAAGAGTATTATATTATTATTAAATATTTATTATATATTTATAATATCCTTATAGGCCTTTTTAAGTTATTTACTTATTTTAGTATTATTATTTTTATTATTAGAGGACTTAATGCTTTTTATTTCTTAGTTTAAACTCATAAGTTTAAAGGGTATAATTACCTTTTTTTAAATCTATTAGAAAATAAAATTAAGGTAACTTTAAAAAATATTATTACTATTTAATAAGTATTAAAGTTAATTTATTAAATAAAAGTAATTAAAGTATTAAAATTAAATATTTAATAATAGTGTTTTTTACTAATAAGTAACTAAAGTTAATACTTAGTAATAGTAAAGTAAGCCTTATTAGTAATCTTATTAGTCTATTAGTATCTAGTAATTAGTTAAGTATATTTAAGCATAAATAGCTTTATAGCTTTATAATAGAAAAATAATTTAAGAGTTATTTATAAAAAAGTAAATCATAAAGTTAATTACTAAAGAGCTATAAAGAGTCCTTAAGCCCTAAGCTTAAGTCCTGTCTATATACTTGTATCTATTTATTATAATACTATTAATAGTAATTAACTAAAGTAGGTCCTAGGTAAGTTGTTTACTTAGTAATTACTCTTAGTAATTACTTTATCTTTTGATTACTTTCTTATTATTACGTGACCTATCTATAGTTCTTCTGTCCTGACCCTTGCCTGTAAGCGCCGTGATCATACATACATGAGTCTGAATGTCCCCTGGTCCCTCGTGGGTTTGTTCCAGGTGGTTATGTTAACCAACGCTTCTTTAGGTCGTAACAGCTTGCTAGTCTCTAAACCCCCCTCTTTATGCTCTCAACTAACATCAACCTTGTTGAACTAAAATCGTCGCCAATTGTTTGTTTGGGTCGTCCATAATAGATCCCTATGATGTCCGGTTCGATTTTAACAGCGCGGCCCACAAGCAGCAGCTGTGCAAGGATATGTGTTAAATGCCCCATCACAAGAGCATAAACAGTCTGAGGCTTCAGTTCCCGCGAGAAACCCTGCGCCTACGTTAGTTAGCCTCTTTTTTGAGTTTAACCACAGTACTTACAGCAGCAACCTGCCGCTCTATTAGCCAATTTCTGTAGCTAAGTTTAGGTGAAGGTTCAGCTTACGATCTATTAGGACTCTCAAGGAGAGCGTACTGCCTATGGAACATTTAGCATAGTAACTACCATAGGACTGTTTTACCTATACACACTAGTTCTTCAGGTGATTTCCCTAGACCAGGCTCTGGAGTCACAGGCGGAGCTGCAGCGCAGATTGTAGCGAAAGCTGAAAGTAGCAAAAGACTGATCTTCATCGTGACTTTGAGTATCGGCAAGGGGACAGAGCTCTGAAAACCTAAAGCAGTCGAAGGGTACAATTAAGAGAAGAATAAGCTTCTACTAGAGAGAGGTCATGAACTTACTTATGTACTACTCTCCAGGCTATGTGCCTGTCTGAGGAATCATGTAGTTGCGGCACATGCGTCGGCGGAGAGCTGGTACGACAAAACTGACACGGGGTCAACCCGGCCTACTGTGGAAACTGCGAATGCCTCATATAGATTGAGTGGGGCATTTGAGGCTGGTTGAGTCCTTGTCGCTAGCTAGCAAACAATGAAAGTGGCAAATGTGACAAAAAGCCGTTGGTCCAAATTATCGACGCGACTGACTAACCCTAGATGCCAAAACAATCTTACGGCCCAAGAATTTGACTCGCAGTATGTGTTGCATTTTAAGGCAACCATCATCTAGCTTGTCAATGCTTTGCAAATCTACAAGAGCAGTCCAAAAGTATGGAAACGAGATTGATGTAGATGTACAATCACATTATATCAATAACTGTCGTCGCTCTTTGTCAAATCAAGATGTCCAAGTATTAGCCAAAACAAGAAAACCATGTTGAATGTTTTAGGTTAGATGAATTTATGGGTATCATCGGCATTTTCGGCTTTGTCGATGTCTGACAGAAAACCGTATATATTGTTGGCCCTGAGGGTTGCGAGCTGATCGCATTCGGCGGCCAATCCGAGACTCGTGCATTGACGTTTTCGTTCCTCGAATCCTAAATGAAGAACAGGACGAAACGCCCCTCCAACAGTTGCTTTCACCTGAATGCAAATGAACTACCGGCAACCCGTTCTTCGTGTACTCCGTCTCAATTGACTTGGATTAGGCAGCTTCCGATCTCTCGGGTCTAACGGAGAGCACTTAAGAGTCGCTCCTACAGGAATCATTATCTCACATAGTAGTTCCGGTTTGGACTTGCGAGGTTAGTGTACTAAAGCGTTTGTAGTACTTGCAAAAGTTGGGTATCCATTAAGTCGCTGCTGTACGTGGAGGAGTATGTTAATGGAATCGGAGAACCATGGTCCAGGCTCATGAATAAGGTCGTTGGGCTCAGTCAGGTTGATGTAAGTCTCAGAATCGTGCAGTGTATCAATCGTAAGATGACAAAAGGTTCTTGTTTATTTGAATGACTCTTTAGATGAAGTGTTGCTCGTATCAATGCAAGCTGACGTTAAATTAGCGCATCCACAAGCGATGGGTGCATCTTATTGCAGGTTAACAAAACAGCCTGGTCGGGATGTGTAACAGTGAAGATCTGGTCGGAAGTAAGGGCGTATTAGGTGGAGGCGACTTAAGTTGGTTGTGGAGATCCTTGCGGGTATTGTATATGATTGGTTCATTTCACTTCAGCCTGTATCGTTATTTCTTGGCATGGTTGCCTCTCGGAGGGCCGCGGGCTGCGCTAATTTCAAGATGAAATCCCCTGTCTGAGTCTAGCGACCTACATGGTCAGTTCCGTGTCCTCAAGACCGACAAAACAAAATGCAAATCAATTGGACGTGTTTAGACAAATACCGAACAAAGCTCTCGACTATATAACTACACACTTTCCACCACTCATGGGTCATTTATATTTTTTCTAGAACAGTAATTGCTATCCATTGAACAAAGCCTCTTAGCAAGCCGTTTTACATTGAAGTTCTGTTCCCAAGACATGTAAATGCGATGTCTCACTCTTCTTCAGCTATAGACCATTCTTAGACCACCCAGATCCTAATTGTGGGACCAGAACCTGTCAGATTATACATGGAAAGGTTTATTCTGGCTGCTCTTTGATTGCCCTAAATCGGGCCTAGGTATTGGAGAATGTAGACGCTATGGGCTTCAGACTTTTCGGCGTGTGCTGGAGGAAGCAGTTGACAGACAAGGGCCCAAATGTCAGAAAACTTGGAGACTTAATAACGAAGCTGGAATACCCGGAAAGCCAAAATGAAAGTCTTGTTGGTCAAAAGCATTCGATAATACTACAGCAGTACGAGCTCGCAAACCTCTTACTTGGTAATGCCTTGGGCACTGGCTTTGTAAACATCAGCTTCGAGGCTAAGCTGACTGTTCTTCTAGACAAGGGCAATTTGGTCATTGCAACGTTTACCAATTCCAAAACTGGCGCCGCCAACCAGCATCAAGCTTCAATCTTACCTTGGAACTAGTCAGAGAACATAATCCACTTTCAATCTGATAACCCAACTGCGTACGGCAGGCTCTCAGCAATAGGTTTCCATACAGAGATCTGTTTCTACATTGAGATGGATATATCAAACATAGAGCAAATAGAGCTTCTGTTAAGATAAGTGTACAAAAATTCTGTTAGAACTCTAATTGTCTTCGGCTTTCGACTCTACTCTAGTCTTCCCAGTAACGAATTCTAATAGAGCAAATCTTCGGCGACGCTCGTCAGACTATTGCAAAACTTCTCCAAAACACGATTCAGTGCGTCAGCGTTTTCGTCGTCATGGGCATCACAAGTCCTGTCACTGCTGTCCGCCTTTGTCCCAGCCTCAACCTCACCAATACACCTCTTACAAGAATCAATAGCCGCATGCACTTTCCTAATAGGCTCCCTGTACAGCTTCCGGATCAAATCCTCACTCTCGTCAAGGAGCGTCGAGGAGGGGGCCCGGAGCCCTTGGAGCCAGCAGCCACCAGGCAACCCTTGCACCCGTCTTTCAGAACCGTGAAAGCTTTTTTCAATAGCGACTGCGTGTTTATCACAGTTTCTCTCAGCTTAGAGGAGCGACTGTTAGTGGTAACGTCTGACAGGATGCCGACCACAACGTCTAGGCCATCGGCAAAAACGAGTAGAGCATCCTCGTACACGTACATGGGCACCGGTCCACGGCTTGCGTCAAAGGCGCTATTATTGGTGAGCGCGTTTTGAATCCTTACCATGGCATCGATGAGTTTTGCCGTGTTTGTCTGCGTGCCAGGGCCTGTGGTAGCTGTAGACAGACGCCCAATGGCATAGCTTTGGAGATAGCCCCTAATCTCCTGGGCGTGCGGCCCGCCGTGCGTTTCGGCGAAGCGCGCGTCGGCGATGGTGCCTGCTGACTCAAGCAGCGTTTTGGGTCCACCCGGATGGGTGGCCAGGAAGGGAGTCATGTCGTAGACTGTTCCGTCGATGGCAGTCCAGCACGAGGTGATGGAGTTGTGTGCTGCAAGGTTGGAGAGGCTGATGATAGGGTTTTCGGGGCTTGTTGGGGTTGAAGACGAGCGGGACGAGGATGAGGAGCAGGAAGAAGACCGTGAGGTGGAAGGTCTTTTCACCGTAGTGAAGAGATCTTGGTGCAGTTGGTACCAATACGCCGGAGGGGAGGGTATTTGTGTGTGGTTGTCATAGTAGGACTCGTCATTTACGTCTCGTGCTTTGAGTTCTTGCTGCTGCTGCTGCTGCTGCTGTTGAGGTTGGTCCAGTTTAAGACTGCTCATCACCGTAGCTCCAAATTCGGAGCTGCCGCAGACAAAGACGTGGCCGCTCTTTTCCTTGACGAGCCGCTGAACATAGTCCCGGTGCTCTATCAAATGGCGCATTACTCGCCGTTCTCCCTGGGGGAGCCGAGTCCAGGTCCCGTTGCGGATCAAGAGGTGTGTCTCCTGGCTGAGAGCCAAGACTATGGTCAGTGGCAATGTCCTGGTCAGTTGCTCCAGGCTGTCGAGTGGACAGGGGACATGACGACGTGTTCTGGCAGCCACCAGGAGGAGAACCTCGCCTACATCACTGATGTCGTCTTGGCTGTGATCGAGCCGCTGTGCCCATGCCGCCCGGTCGTGCAGGAAGCCCAAGAAGGGGCCGACGCCGCTGCCCTGACCAATCAGCACCAGTGGCACGGCCAGTTCACGTGGCTGGCGGAAACGCGGAGAAGGCCAGGGACGAAGGCGCAGATGTGTGCCTTCAGCGGCAGTGCTGAGGAAGGAGGAGACAAGTCCCTCGGGCGATTGTTGACCGACTGTCAGAGTGATGATCATACCTCTCACCCCTAATTCTGTCGCGCCATCAGCAACATCTGGCATTGCACGGGCGATAGAGTAGAATCTCGGCTCGGTATCATCGTCACTAATGTCTGACGACGAATCATCATCTTCTGGGAGGATGCACGCAACCGTCGCTGGTGCGATGATTTTCTGTTAGCCGTTTTCCTCTTTCTCGGCGGCCAGACTTGCACTCGATCACCCGGCTCGAGCGGCAAATTCGCATCCAACCTCACGACCACCACCACGCTGCCTTGGTACACGCTCTGCGACTGCACATGCGCGTTCTGCCACAGCGGCCGACCGCCCAGTCGTGACGCCATGCCCTTCTTCATTTGCATGCTGAGCATGGTCTCGGGGCGCATCTTTGGTTTTCCTCCTGCCGCGCCTTTGTCCTGGTCGCTGCTCTTGACGCCGGTACTTGTCGAGTGTCGCCCCGTGTTCAAGCTCACGCCCGTAACGCCAACAGCCTTGACGCGGTGCCGCTCGAGGAACCAGATGTACATTTGCAAAAGCCCATCCCACGCTGCTGAGAGATGCTGATATTGTGACTGCTCTTCAGGGGACAGATGTTGTTGCCGGGAAGGGACAGCAGCGACGTAGTCCTTGACGCTTCCGGCTCCGTCACCAAGGGCATCCAGAAAAGCGCGAATGTTGGCCGGCAGCGTGGCCCGTCTATCGCTCTGCATCCCCTTCAAGTCACCCTTAACATCCTGGCGGCCAATGAACGCGTCCAGCGCATGGAACAGTGGTGCATCAACGCCGCTGTTCCCCAGCTCGCCAGACGTCACCGCGCGGCCCATGGCGGGATACGTCTTGATCCAGACGACGGGGTCGAAGTGTGCCGTGTCGCGCGGCGTCATAGCTTCGAACACGTGGGCGCACTTTACGATGCGCGCCGCCAGACTCTCCAGGCAATGCGCGACCAGGTCGGGCTGGTCGGCCAGCACACCGCTCTGCGCGAGCGCCATGGCAGAGAGCGCGGGGGCAAAAACGGCCTCCATCGTGCCCTGAAGCCCCGAGGAGAGCCGCTCCTCGGGGAGACCAAAGTAGGTGCTGCTCAGACTGAAGGAGTCATTGCCCACAGCGTTGTTGAGAACGTCGTCGGCGGGCACCTATCGTGGTAAGTTAGCTACTGTACTATATAGGTAGTTTGTTTCGAGTATTTCTACATACCCGCCCAGTCAAGGGTCTCCCCAACTGCCTGCAAACCCTCTCCCACGCACTGAGAACATGGCGCGGTAGCTGGGGCCGGCCATCGTCCCCTTTGCCCTTGCCCTTGCTTTGCTCTTCGCCAAACATGTACGCGTGAGCCAGCGCACTTAGCACCAGCGCCGCTCTGGCTAGATGGCGCTGTTCTAAGTTATTCCACGCAGCTCTTCCCCCTGTCGCGCGCTCACCCAAAGCGTCGACAGCTTGGCGCACTCGGCCCGCTCGGAGTAACCGCGGCAAATTCCCATGAACCACCTCCCATGCTTCCAGGGACGCTGGCAGGCGTTGGCCTGAGCGTGCCGAGGTATTACTGCCGGTAGTGGCCTGATTTTGATGTGTTTTTTGACCTCCTAGGAAGCCCCTTGTGCGGGTAAAACATCCATCAAGGCCTGCGCCGAAACGGAGTGTTCGTGTTTCCGCTTGGGGTGACCCTGGGCTACGGAACTTAAACTCGGTCGTTGATGACCCGCCAAACAGTCCCGTTGCAAGAGAGGCCTGGGCAAGTAGGAAGCTGGCCTTGGAAATGGGACAGTCGATTACTGTTGCGGATGCAATGCTTAGGGCGTGTTCATCCTTGACCGGAGTTTCTGGTGGCGTGATGATGCCTCCAGCTGATGTTTGGGGCACATTGAGGAAGATCGACGGTGGTAGTGATGATGATCTCGTGTATTTGGCCACATCTTGCTGTGGCTTCTTCCACAAGGAAGAGGATGTGGATGGTGTGGGAGACGGAGACGGTGTTGGAGGGTCTTGAAAGGCAGACATGGTAGTGAAAGCAGATACCAACAAACAAAGTGGAAGTTATTGTTATTGCAACGAAACAAAATGAGAGGCGTTCTCAACGGCCCCAGGTTGCCAAGGATGGCAGGATATATTGGTTTCGTTATTCAGGAAGATCATATGTCAAAGTTATCGGCTTTGTCGGCTAAGGCCTCAATGGATTCCGCGAAGCAGGTAAATTATATATATGTGTATGATGTTGTTGAAGTGCGCAATGCGCCAGACCAACCGATCAAGGTGGGGCAGTCCGGTCAAATGTCGCCAGCCAAGTACTCGGAATCCGATGGAACGTGCATTTAGCACTCAGCAAAAGCAGAGTCGGCAGATGAGGGGATTTTCCTGGGGAAACATGGACCTGATAATTACAACAAGGATAGCCTATGAATTGACGTACGTCGATAGACATGGGTACAGAGAAAGGGACATTGTATGTCATAGCCTCGATCTTCGTCTAGACTTTACTGTGTCGTATGTACATAAAAACTTTGTGAAGTTTGAAGCACAGAAGGCCTTGACTGGAAAATAAACTTATAAGTATCTTTGCACTTTTGTTCCAATTTGGAAATGCCTTGTATTAGTTGATATCCCTCCCCGACTGGCATAAACATCTTGCGCTATTGTCCAGCTAACTTAAGCAGACATGGCTTGGCCGTGTCCAGATGGCTACCAGCCAGACAAAAACTACAGCTCTAAGGGACACCGCTACACATCACTACGTCAAAAACGTACCTAAATTCCTAACCAGTTTAGGTGTGCAGGATAGATATGTCCGTGCACGGCAGATGCTCTCTGCTAGGAGCACATATCGTTCTGCAGAATGCACGTCATCCGAGCGATAGCACGTCACGTTTGGTAAAGTAAAGCCATTCGTCCAAACTTTGACTGTGAGTTTCTAGTTTAGGAAATTACGAGAGAAAGTTCCCAGAGCCCGTGGTCTACTTTGGAAGAAGACCAGAAGGCTCTGCTCGTACAGCTGTCAGCCCTGCAAGCTACGTCAAAGGCCTCCGTCGGACCCCGTGAACCATGGCACTCTCGGCACTCTCAGCTTCGGAGTCCGGTCGTCTCACGTACTATCGTTTATTAGTTGCGAGAAAACTCTATTCTGAGATCCTCGCTTTCGCAAGGTTGGGTTCGCACTTGCAACTCAAGCCGAATTAGGTTAAATTGTCACTGACGCCTTTCATTGTGAGAAGCCAGGACAGTGACGACAGTCTCTTCCCGTTGTCTCTCCTCGTATTCGTCTTGTTGTACGGAGGATAACTACTACTTACAGGAACAGGAACGAAGGAAAGTCAAAGTGAGAAAACAACTCATAGCTCGGTCCAGGGCCGATCAACAAGGACATCATGATTCTAGACATACCTTCCAATGTTCACGTACCCAAGTTGCCGGACCTCCTCTGGAGCCTCGGCCTGGCCATCCTCGGAGTTTTTGTGCTACGCACCATCTACTACGCGACCCTCCATCCCCTGGCGGGATACCCAGGCCCGCTTCTCGCACGCATCACCACCATCACGTCGCTGCGGCACCGCGCCGATGGGTCCAATCATAGCTGGCCATTGCTCCTCCACAAAAAGTACGGCCACATTGTGCGCATCGGCCCTAGTGAGCTGAGCTACAGCCACCCTGATGCATGGCACGACATCTATGCCAAGGCTGGCGGTGGAGGCGACATGCCAAAGGATTTTGTCGGGCTGGGGCCAGACATGGCGGCGCCCGAGAAAGGCATCGTGCGCGCCGACGACGCCAACCACCAGCGGCAGCGGCGCATCTTCTCGCATGCCTTTTCCGATCGTGCCGTGCTGAAGCAGGAGAGCCTCGTGCAGGGACATGTCCGCAACTTGATGTGCAAGCTGGCCGACGAGAATGCGGAACCTGCTTCTTCCCATGGCCGAGTCGACCTCATGACCTGGCTGAGCTATCTGGCCTTTGACATCATGAGCGACCTCATGTACGGCGAGCCGCTCGGCATGCTCGAGAGCGACCAGTCGGCGCGCCAGTGGGTCCGCGACACGTACTCGACCATCAAGACGGTCACGCTCGGCATGGCCATGATGGGGTGGCACCCGCCCCTGGGGCCGCTGCTTCTTGAATACGTCTGGGGCGGCAGTGGCAAGCGCCGCGCCCAGCACAACCGCTTCTCGATGGACCGTGTCGACAAACGCCTGGACCGCGGTGACAACTCGGGCAGCGACCTTTGGTCAATGATCATGCAGAAAAGCGGCAGCGAGAAGCAACCAGGCATCACGCGGGCTGAAATGTACTCTAACGCCGCAACGTTCATGATCGGCGGCACCGAGACCACTACAGCCGCCACGTCGGCTCTGACGTACCTGCTGCTCAAGCATCCGGCCAAGATGGCCATGCTGCGCGCTGAGATCGACGCCGCCATTAATGACCCGCAGGCGGACATGACTTTCACCTGCCTGCGCAAATTGCCGTACCTCAACGCGTGCATCGAGGAGGCCATGCGCCTGTACCCGCCCGCACCGACGCCCATGCCGCGCATAGTGCCCCGCGGGGGCCGTGTCGTCTGCGGGCGCTACGTGCCGGCCGGCACGCGCGTCGATATCCCGCTGTACGCAGTTGCGCATCACCCGGATAACTTTGTCGATCCTGAGGAATTCGTGCCGGAGCGGTGGCTGGACGACAGCGACCGGCCTGCCAAGTATGCTGGGGATCGGAGAGAGTGCGTCAAGGTATTTTCGGCGGGACCGAGAGACTGTATTGGCAAGAAGTGAGTAATGGTGTCTTCTCCATCTGTGTCCACAGTGGTGGTTACTGACCAGCTTCCACGCAGCCTTGCGTACCCCGAGATGAGACTCATAATGGCCAGCCTGTTGTACCATTTCAACATTGAGTTGGCCGACCCCAGCTTTGACTGGTTAGACCAGAACAGTTACGGGATCTGGGACAAGCACCCGCTTTGGGTAACGCTGGTGCGTCGCCAAGTTGAAAAGGTCATTTGAAACTCAGGCTGTAAAAGGCAGAAAATGTTATGCGAAACAGTTCTGTAGATCCAAACTCGCATATTGAATAATCTTCCAATTTGAAGTATTGAAAATACGTTATTTATTATATGAGTTTCCCGTAATCAGCCTTCTTAAACAAACAGCTCAGTCCCCCGGAACAGCTCAGCCTTACGGATGGTCTCGTGTAAGTGAGGAAACCACAACAAAGTGGACCGCATATATAAGATTGAAAGGTATTTAATAGTTTCCTGGGCTCATATCACTAGCTAAACGGTTTTATTCATTCGATGATTTCATAACGGTAATGTACCGGTTGAATATATTCTTGCAAAATCGGCCAATGAAGCTTACTCCCAAAACCTTGGCCCGAAGTAGGCGCTAAGCCCTACACCCTTTTCAGAAAAGGAAATTGATGCCATGGTATGCAGACCCGTCTCTCTCTCGTTCTCGCTTTTTCGGTTCAAAAAAATTGTGAGTCAGCATTTACGGGCGTTCATGAGCCTAAAAAGACTCTCACAGCAAGGACATTACTCACAAGGCGTCTTGGACAGCAGCTCCAAAGTCGCAATCCCCCATCCCCTGCATCTGGAGTATGCGCCCGTAGCGTTCCACAACTGCGGAGTCGTCACGCGCATACTGCCACATGGGCACGTACATCTTGACTTGCGGGACTGCCTTGCCCGGCACCATCTCGAAGGCGAAGCAGAGCCCGCAGTACTTGCTGTCCGGCTCACTGAGCGGCTTTTCCAGGCCGTCCATGATGGCTTGGGGAACGTCTTCCATGTCCATAAGCAGGGGCCAGACTTGTGGTAGAAAGTTGGCGGAAGAAGGGGAAAGACGGCCACCCAGGGTGAGGACGTGACGGGCCGAGGCGAGCGAGTTAGCGTGTGTGTGGGTGTATACCTTGAAGCGAGGCGCCATGTGGGGCGCCAGGCAGTCAATGGCGAGGAAGTATATGTTGATGTTGTCCTCGCTATGGGAGTCGAGAAACGTTTTGAGCAATCCCCAGGCGGCCAACATCCCGCTGTCACCCTCAGCAAGTCGCGTCACGACGGACTCTGTGATATCCACCAGCTCGCGGCCTGTTGCGAGAGCTTGAAGCTGAGGGAACAGGTAGGCCTTCATGCCGATGGCCGCTTTCCCATTCTCGTCCGCGTCGGATTCGAGATCGAATCCGGCATAGCAGATCTGCCGCGGCAGCGAACTAACAGAACCACCAACATTCATCTCCTTTTCCACCAAGCCCGCCTCCTCTTCGGCAGTAAGGAAGACTGAATCGACAAAAGCATCCAGCCAGGTACGATCCGCACCGCAAGCTGACGCCAGATCCTCCAGCTTCTCGCGCAGCCCCTTCTGTCCCAAGGGGTCATCACCCACAGGATCGAGGTCCACTAGCGGCTGCACCGTAAACCGCACTTTGGCCGTTTTGCGAGACGCAAATGCAATGCTTACTTCGTACGGCGAGTGGTTGTGTGTCAGAATGTATTGCAGCCTGTCAGCCGCGGCAGGCGGCTGCTTAAGTCGGGGAACCACGGCCTCGCGCACAAAAGTGAGATGGGAGTCCTGAATGTGGACTGGGTAGGAGCCCGTCCAGCGTAGGAGTGAGGAGAGGGTGTTGTGGACGGTGGGGAGCCATGAAGAGACGAGAGGACCTCCTTTGCACGAAGTGGAAGGGTCGACTTCATTGTAGATGTTTTTCTCCGTGGTCCCATTGGCATGAAGAACGGTGGTTGAATGATGATTTTCCATGTTGAGGTTGTTGGTGTCCATAGTGATCTCCTGGCTGACGGGCTGATACACGTACCCGTGTTGTCTGTTTCCGTTTTGATGGTTGCTTTTTCTGTTTTGGAGATCTAACTTGACCCGAGGTCAATCTGTGGAGTTTACCTAGGTCACTGCTTTGAGCATCTATGGATTGAATGCCAAAGTTCGCAATGAGTTCCCTCTTTAGGACTCCCACTGGGTCATTACCAATAACGCAATACTCTTCAGAAGCTAAGGAATTTCCGGAAAGCAAGTACGCAAACTGCGGGTGTCACCCAAATTAGCCTAACCCAAACTGATCAGGCACGTGTGGGCACTTGAGGTCAAGGCCAAGGGGACAAGACTGTTCTTGACATGTGAAAGAAGGCTTGATGTGACGTTATTCCTCTCGTCCCAAGAGCAGGGCATGACAGGACTGGGCTCGAAGTCTAAAATACATTTTTCATGCGGTAAAAACAGGGAAGGTAGTGTTCTGCTGGGAACTTCTCGGCGAACTGGTGGGATAACTAAGGTTTGGGGAGGCCCTTGTAAACTTCAATGGTTCACGGGCCCTAAGCTAATGCGAAAGCTTCAACATAACGTCATGCAGAGCGGGGAATTCCAAGAGTATTCATTTTAGACCTTTGGTAAGTGACCCCTCCGCCGTTGGTTATCACCTACTGAACGCCCTAGCCTGACCGAAAGAGGTAGTTTGCTCGCGAGGCTCTGTCAGCTAGCTCAGGAGCAATATGTCGTCCTCCTTATCTCAAGATGCAGAAGCCTGACGATGCCGATAGCGCCATGGCATAATGGGCACGGTTAGGGCACGGGTATTCTTGAAATTGTAAGAATACTTTGTAACATGGTAGACTTTCCATTCGGGCTTTTCATGGACGCCATCTCTATAGTAACTCCGAGCACGAACACGAAACACTATGAACTCACTCACCTCTATCACACATCCTCTTTCGCATCCAAGCCTCAAAGCCACCTGCCATTACATCACTCGAACCCGGGAATCCCGCCTATGTCCCCTGCTGAGAACATCATTACGTTCTCTACGATAGTATCTAAGACTACAAGCAGTGGCGAATACGAGACACGATGAACTTACTCATCTGTACCATCACAACTCCTCGGTTAAAGACACTTGCAACTACATCACCCGAAACCGGGACCTCCGCTGGTGTTCATACATGAGGCCCGAGGCTCGGCGACCTCGGAAAACAGTTCACACGGAGTGCCATAAGAATGATGCACTCTGTTTCTCCGAACTTGTTACACTCTTCAACATCCATCCAGTCCATCACCTCGGTAACCAAGCAAGAAACAACAATTTGTAATCATCAATCAACATGGCTACCGCAGAACACCAAATCACTCACCTGCGTTCCCTCCTGGACATACTAACTACCTCAATCAACGACCTTATCGCTGAACTCTCCTCCTCCTCGTCTTCCAAGTCCACGGCTAGCAACGGAGACACAGCAGACCATACAGACGTTCGCATTCCGAAAGATCCCAAGACGGAGGAGGCCCGCAAGCGCGTCATCGCCGCTACAGCTTCCCTCGATGCGGCTGTGTTCACGCCTCAGTGGCGCGTTGGACACCTGGCGCACAACTATTTTGTGTCACGGGCGCTGCACATGGCTGTCGAGTGGGAGATCCCTCAGCTGCTGGCAACCAATGGGCCCATGTGTCTTGACGCCCTCGCCGCAAAGACGGGCATCGTCGACACGCGCAAGCTAGGCCTCGTGATGCGAACTCTGTGCGCACACCACATTTTCGCCGAGACGGCCCTCGACGTCTTTGCTAATGACGAGGCGTCAACCGCCCTTGCGACCGACGAGCGCCTCGCCAACTCGGTGCGCTACGCCTCCTTTCTCTTCCCCACAGCCGACGTGCTCCCAAGCCTCCTCAAAGATCCGGTCCTCTGCGCTAGCTACGCATCACGAGACTCAGCTTTCGCCAAGAGCATCGGCAAGGGCATGGGCCAGTTTGAGTTTTTGAACGCGCATCCCGAGTGGCGCGACTGCTTCGATTTTTACCTCGCCTCGCTAGGCGAGTACCTACACGGGCTGACCGACGTGGGGGGGTACCCGTGGGAATCCACACTCCAGAATGGTGCCGTGATTGTCGACGTCGGAGGCGGAATCGGCAGCTCCATCCAGGCCTTGCGGACCAACTTCCCCGACCGCCAGAACGATTTTGTCGGCATCGTTCAGGACCAGCCCGGCATGATAGAGCACGCCACCGCCCACTGGCAAAAGACGGACCCGCAGGCGTTGGCCACGGGTGCGGTCAAGCTCACCGCGCATGATTTCTTCAACGAGAATCCTGTCAAGGGTGCCGATGTGTACTGGTTCCGGTCAGTCATCGTGGACTGGCAGGACGACGACTTGATCAAGATGTTCACGCACATCAAGAACGCCATGACGCCCGGAAAGTCGCGCCTGCTGATCGGCGAATACATCATGCACCCGACGTGTGGCGACGCCCTGTTACCCAACGCGCCGTCCCCGTTGCTGAAGAACTATGGCGAGTTCCAGGCCATGGGGCTTATCTCAGGATTTATCTTGACCGTCAGCCCAAATGGTCGTCAGCGGACTGTCCATGACGTAAGCAATGTCGTTGAGGCGGCTGGCTTGAAGATTGTCAAGGTGTGGATTTGCCGAGGCCTAGGGAATGTGATTGAGTGTCGGTTAAAGAATCATGTGTAGATGCTATGAGTGAGAGCACTCAAGCAAATTACTAGACTGTTGAATAAGTTTCTTTTCTTCTGGTCGCATAAACATCCATCTGCATGTCGACAGGTCCAAGTCTAAGTTTCCCACAGTCACACTTCTAAAAGTATGTCCCAAATTCACCCCCAGGGCGGAGAAAGCCCAAAAACTATATACTAGACTCCGACAGGTACAAGCACACGACTGAACTCCTAGAATTCCATTCCAATTAACTAGTGTTAATCGAATCTTTGCAAACTGCAGTTTGGCATAGCTGCAGGGTAATGTCCCGACATAATTATACGCTGTTGCACGATCGTGGTATCAGTTCCGCAGGACTACTCTGCAAGTGTCACATCTCAATACCCATGATAAACAAATTCACTATAGTGAAAATCAAATCATATCTTGCTTCCTTCACAAGGGCTAGAGCCAAACACCTTAAGTAATAACAAGCCCATGGGATTAATAAGATGTGGACTATTGAGTAGATGTAGAAGGGTGCATAATTTATAAACCATTTGTGATTAAGTTCTGCATTTTCTACAAGTTTAACTGGAATCAACCATAATGATCCTTTATCATCAAATCCAGTATTGAGGAGTCGCGGGTGGCCTTTGCATCGAGAAGTAGCCTATAGGTATGTCCTGATCCCCTTCTTCGCCCTCACTCAAATCCTCCAACCCACTTCCCCCTTCCTCATTCTCTTGTGCTTCATTGTCAAGTGTGTGTATATCGTCAACGTTGTCCTCGTCGTCATCCCAGTACCTCTTGCCACTGCTACCAAGCACCTGTATACCGCCGCTGACAGACGACCGAAGCGATCCCGACAGTTTCCTTACCCGCGTGGCCTTCAAGGTGTGGCCGCTCAAAGACTTGTCCGAGCGTTTCTCCTCGTCATACAGAAGATTTGACGAGCCCTCATCGGCATCGACCTGCCCTTCTTCCACCGACAGACGGTCCCAGGACTCTGCAGGAGGCTTTGTGCTGCTGCTATCTTGGCCTGATAGTTTTTTAGAAGGTGGTGATGTAACATGTTTGTCTTTCTTGGGCTTGGGCACACGGATCCAGTACAAAGCAAAAGCCGCCACGGCATTGAAGAAGACGTACGCGGACAGGATTCCCAAGTCGCGCCAGCGATTGCCGAACTCGACGTGCACCCCAGCCAATACCTCGTTTGTGTTACTCGTCGTGCAGAAACTGCAATTTCCGGCGGCGGCCGGATCAGCAAGGTACCCACCCGCTTGCGCGATATAGGGCTGCAAGTACTGACCGCACGTCTGCCCGGGCGGCGGGTTTATGTGCAGAAACTCGTTCTCCGCGCAGTGGATGCTCGCATTCGCGAGCCCTGTTCCCAACAGCCCCTCGACGAGGTACGTGAACGGGTTGACACGGTACACCCACACCCAGAAGCTGGGCGGCGTAGCAAGGATCCCGTTGAAGATAAACATCATGACAAATAGAAGGTTGCCAATACCGGCGGCCTGGTCGGCGAGGTCGAAGACGGCCCCGATCATGTGCGAAAACGTGCTGGCCTGCAGGAAGAAAACAAGCATAAACAGAAACGCCAACCCTCCGCGCGAGGCAGTGTCGTTTGTTTCTGCTGCGTTGCGGTACAGCCCAACGAGATAGTACCATGCCAGGAACGCCGGCGGGGCCATCAGCGCGTTGTAGGCCATTTCGACAGCCATTTGACCTCCCATAAATGCGGCCCACGAGTACGTCCGCGAGGGCTGCTCGCGACCCTCATAAAGTGTGCGCTGGGCTACGAAGACCGGTACAATCTGCTGCAGCAGGTTGAGGTGCGTCGTGAGGAACATGAAGATGGCGATGGTCTGGATCGTGATGCCTGTCTGCGTGTTAGGCAGGTTGAGCAGCGAGAGGCCGATAAAGAGGGCCGAGCCGAAAGTCAACAGCATCTTTGCGTAGATATAACTCGGGGTGCGCCAGTAGTGTTGGGCTACACGCTTCGTCACCTCGGAAAGCTGGATTGGAAAGGGGGCTGCAAAGGGGGGTCCTGCTGCTGTTGCGTTGGGTGTGTTGTGCGTTGCCCCCTCCCCGCTTCTTCTTTCAGTCGGGTCAAGTGGGCCTTGACTTCGTCGTACTCGGTGCTCTGCCGCCATATGTCGGGCCAGTCCATGGTCTTTTCCCCGCTTGCGCGGACTTGTTCGAGGATGTACTCAGCTGGGTTCTGCCCCTTTTTGGGTCGCGGCCCGCCATTGCGAATGAAATAGTCGACTAGGACATTGGCGTTGCGTCCAATCTGGCCAAAGTAGACTGTGCGTCCGCCGCGAGCAAGGAGAAGAAGTCTATCGAACCGCTCAAAGAGCTGGTGGTTGATCGCATGCAATGTTAGCGGTGTAATAGCAGAAGGGGAAAGGAGAGGGCCTGGGTGGGAAATAACTTACGACCGCCGACGGCTGGTGAATTGTGCACAGTATAGCCTGACCATTCTGCCTCAACGTCTCGAGCAAATTGCAAATTGACAAGCTCGTCTGCGAATCCAAGCCTGAGGTGGGCTCGTCCAAAAATAGTAGTAGCGCAGGACGTGCAGCCAGCTCAACACCAATTGTCAGTCTCTTACGCTGTTCCACATTCAGACCCTCCCCGGGCACGCCGACCACCGCGTCGGCATATTCCTCCATGCCAAGGATGTCAATGACCTTATCAACATATGCAATCTTCTGCTTGTGCGAAAACCTGGCTGGCTGGCGGAGCACAGCACTGAAAGTGAGAGCCTCACGCACTGTTGAAGTGACCAGGTGCTGGTCTTGCTGCTTGACGTAGCCCGTTTTCTGCTGGAAAGAGGCATCGCGTGGGGCCCCGTCAACCAGCATCTCTCCCGTCACCACGCCGGTGGACAGGCGCGAGGCGAGGGCGTCTAGGAGGGTGGTTTTGCCAGCGCCGGAGACGCCCATAAGCGCAGTGAGCGTCCCCGGCTTACACCACCCGTCCACACCATCCAGGATGCGCTTCGTCTCATTCTTCTTGACCTTGACCTCGTAGCAGACGTTGCTCCAGTGAAAGATGGCCGTCTGGCGGTCAATACCCAACTCACCATCGTTATTGCCGCCGCTACGATCTTCGAACCTGTCTCGCTCCTGCGGCCAGTTCCAGGACTTGGCTGGCGGGCTCGTCCTGGCAGTATAGGACACCTTTCCACTCCCCGTTGTAGTCGGGGAACCCCCATCAGTATACGTGCCCGTAATTTCACTCTCCCAATGTCCGCCTTTCGTAAAGACGGGTGCGACAGGCGTGACGGGTAAGGAAGCCATGGGTGTGCTCGTGCTCGGTGCCTCTGTCCTTCCCTTGGTGATATGGTCCTCCACATCTCTTGCCCGCCGTATCGGGACTTTTCCCCTAGGGAAAACAAGCATCTCCCCTTTGCTCTTCTCGCTGCTCACCAGCTCCGTGGCGATGAGGTGCAGCAAAAAGTACGCCGCCGCAAATGCAAAAATTACACCGACGTTCCGCCACCGATGGTTGTCCAAATACCCAAACGCACCGGTGATGTATGCGCTCCCATCGATGAACGTTGTGCCCGCGACACCCCCTTGCGCGGCACATACACGCGTCTGTGCGATCATGGTCGCATTATAGGCTGGGCCTGACGGAACAAAGGCCGTACAAGGAAATCTACGCCCGCCGCCAAATTCATTGACCATGAGGGCCTCGAACCCATATGCCACAGGGCTGAGCGTGGCAATCCATGCGGCATACGGTTTGTAATACATAGGTGGGACCGCGAATCCTGTATACAGCGCCAGCGCAAGCATTACTATGGTCGACGGTGCCATGGCCGCTGTGTGGCTCTTTGTCACAGAAGCGACGAGCCGGAAAAGCAAGCTTACGGCGAGCGTCATGGCGAACTGGACCAGCACGAAAGTTAAAAAGGCCCCAGCTTCCGTGCGCATGTTGCACATCCAGTAGAAGATGGTGTTGACCGTGATGGCGTTGAGCAGCTTGTACGGTAAGCTCATGACCAAGTCCGCAATGGCCTCGGACGAGGCGTGATACAGGGCATACCGCACATGCTTCTCAACGATGGCGCGCTTGGCATACAAGGCCGACACCTCGAGCACGCACCCAAAGGCGTTGACCAGCGTGGTAGTGAAAAGGAGCGTGCTACGCGCCTTCATGGACTCTGCCGTGTCGGGCAGCCGGAAGAAGACGCTGGCCACGATGAGCGTCTGAAACAGGTTGATGACGAGCATTGTCACCGTCATCTGTGGCGCCGCCTTGAGCAGCGCAAACGCGCGCCATAGGCACAGCTGGACCTGCCGCGGGTACGAGATGGTGTAGGGTGACTTCCACCGCTGCAGGGACGACTGATCGCTTTTCTTGCTGGCTAGGAAGTCGGCATAGTGAGTGCGCGAGCCGCTCAGGCCGAAGGATCCGTCATAGGCGTCCAATTCCTGGCTCAGCTGACGGCGGTTGCTGCTCGTCCGCCACGCCTCCGCAAACTCGTCGGGGGTATGCGGGACTTTTGCCTCGTAGCCGGGCTTGATGACGCCCTCACGCTCGACTGGGCTGGTCATGGACGTCAGGAAATCCGGCGTCGTCTGGTTCCGCGGACAGATGAAGCCCAGTCGCTGGAAGTATCTCTTGGCTTGCGCCGTCTTGCCAAAATAGATTTGTCGTCCTTCGTAGAGGACCAGGACCTTGTCAAACAGCTCATAGGCCTCTTGCGGGGCCTGATAGATGGCCACCGCACTCGCCATGCCCATTATGTCGCTCTGGACGCGTAGGGTCCTGCAAAAGTCGACTGTCGTGGCGCTGTCGAGCCCACGCGTACTGTTGTCCCAGCACTGGATCGGCGCAAAGCTCAGCGCCGCCTCGGCAATGCTCACGCGCTTCCGCTCGCCGCCCGACACGCCGCGCACCGTATCGCCGTCAGTGCCGCCGACAGGGGTCTGCATCGTGTGCTGGATCCCCAGCATGGCCATGGTCACATCACGAACGCGCCGCGCGTACTCGTCCGTCGTGAGCCCCCCGGGCCGGGTTTTGGGTGCTCTCGCCCGCGCGGCGAAGAAAAGCGTGTCCGCCACCGAGAGTACCGGGAAATGCACGTCCTCCTCAGCGATGTAGACGGCGTCACCCCTGAAATAGCGCTTCATCTCGTCGGCACTCACGCCGCGGTAGTTGAGATATGCATTCTCTGCTACGTGCGTACCTTGCGTGTCCCCAGCGATCGTCCGCAGGAAGGTCGAACACCCGCTGCCTGGCGGACCTAGCACACACAGCATCTCGCCATCGTTCACCGCCCCCTCGAGGTCGTGCAGGATGCGAACCTGTTGACGTTTCATGCGCAACAACCCGCCCACAGTGGCCACAGCCTTGAGCCACCACGCGTTGCCCACCGTCTTCTGGAACGCCGTGTCAGACCCATAGCCCGAGATCCTCAGATTGCGAAACGCCACCCCCGCCTTGCGCACCTCACAGCTGTCGGAGCGGAGGCGGTAGAAGGACTTGGCCCACTCACGGGCGTCGAAGTTGGCGCCAAAGGGGTCAAGAGGCCCGTCCTGCTTAGGAGGCTTCGAGACGTCGAGAGAGCCGCTTTGGGTAGACGAGGCCGAGACATCGCCGGTTTGTTGCTTCTCGAGAAAGTCCTTGGCGAGCTCGACGAGGTCGGTGATGGCCTTGTACTCGTCTGCAGAAATGTGCACAGATTTTGGTCGTTGACCGCTGGGAACGCCCGGAAAACTAACGAGAGAGGAGCGAGGGCGAGACCGGCGCGAAGATCTGGGTGGGGGCGCCGGCTGTGGTTGGGGTTGTTGAGCGGATGTCGGCCTGCTCCGTAATACCGGCCGCCCGCTCTCTACGTTCTTGTTCGTGGAGAGTGTGGCAGCCATGGTTGTTGACCAAGACTGCAGGTGAGTTAAGGTGCTGATACCAGTCAGGGAAACAGTTCACTTGGCTCAAATACTGCTCTCCGAATTATTTGAACTGGAAAAACAAAAACGAAGCTTCAGTTGAGATGCAGTTTTGAACTTCAGTATGTGGAATGGCACAAGATCAATTCAAGACCCAGATACCACGCCTTGATCAAGATGTTTCAATGCCTGCTGCTATCTAACATTATATATTTGTAGTTTAATGCTGAAGCGCATGTCAGTCCGACCTATCACATGGGATCTGTTAATAGTAAAGTGAAAGGCAGGAAAACTCGAGTCGAAGCCCCCTCCCTAATGCTCAGCATCGGGGTGAGATGAATTCAACCCTGAAATGGCAAGAAAAAGAGTTGGCTGAAGTTTAAGTGCCCATATGTCGCCATGACGTATAGCGACCGGAGACAGTGGAGGCGATTACTCAAATAGAACCTCCGGCCCCGTCTGTCAAAAGACTGCCCCGGCACCCCAACGAAAAGAATGAAAGTATAACGCGCATAAACTTTCGTTCTTAGCACGGCTTTGACATAGAATGAAGGGGGGCGCCTAGACCTCTCTTCTTGCCTCCCGTCTGAACAATGGGTAATTCCGCAAGTTTGCACATTGAACCCGAGCCATAGACAGCTCTAATCTCATTACATAAATCCCTAGCACTAGAGAGTACGCAAAAGCTAAAGCAACACTTTTCACACTCAAATCCGAACCGAATGCTACCAACAACACATGTCAAAAAGCTCAAACAACCCACCCTTACTGCGTTCAACTCTGAATTGCACAGTAAATATGCAAGGAGTAGGGGTTACTAGGGTATATGATCAGGTCTTCACCTGAGTAACCCCGTATATAGCCCATAAGGTGGAATATAACATAAACCGTAAGAGGCATTTTGCATCATGGCTTGTAACGCAACAGTAACTATGATCGCAACCACTGTATTTTTTATCTTGAACTATCTTAGTGTCGACAGTATCTCCGACCAGACTCAGGACAGCAAACAAAGTAGTAATGAGTCTCGTTTGCAGAACATTGAGAGAGCAGAAACGTATGAGGCAATGCGGCAAAGATAAGTAGGGATATCTGGGGGTTCAGATAGAAGTGGCCGACAACAAATGCGTGTAAATCTGTAAATTTATACCTGTAGATCAAGAGCAATTGTCCGGTGAGAATTGCACTGGCCAAAAGGCAGGTTTCATGTTGCTACACTAACTCATCCACTCTATGAGTACTTAGGTAGTAAATATGATAGTAGCCTGCTTCAAATTGAATCAACTTCTTCGGTCTTCTAGCCATTCAACAAGTTTTGCAGAATATGATGATTTAGCATGAAATGGCTCTTACTAGTCTCTCACTAAGACGCGACCATGTTGGGCCAGGGAAAGTCCCGAAGAATGGACCAAACTGTGTCTCGTGCAAGCTGGGCTGATGCCAAACTAAAATATGATTGATGGCATGGGAGAGTCCACAGACGAACAAGACAAGGAGCGATTCATGTCCCATACAAAATAGACTTGACGTTTCACGGAATGATAAAGTCAGCTCCGTGGCTCAAGTGTAGCTGGCATCAACGCGCAATAAACTCTATTTGAATCTGCCCGGAATATGAATGTGAAGGAAAGAAGAGGTACGGGGCTGGAAAGGACTCTTCTAGCAAGGGAAACTGTCGACAAGCAAACTCGTATAGCACTAATGAAGTAACCGTCCTATCTTGCGCACACTTTCCCTTGATCCAGGTAGTCCGTGACCGCATCGTCCGCCTGGCCCTGGCTATCCACATGCAGCAGCACGTGGTGGTCCGGTCTCACAATAATCCCTTTCCCCCCCTTGATTTCCGGGACAACGTCATACCAAGCTTCGGGCAGACCAAGGCTTGCCACATTGATAGCCCAGTCGCAGGATGCGAACACGGGATTGGCGTAATGCAGCAAGGTGAATCGATCGTATGGCACGAGGTCTAAGAGAGACAGCCCATCACCGATGGTCCCGTGTGGCAGCCTTGCTCCAGGACACGCTCGTGGGATGTATATAGTCGGGTTGTCAAGAAGGCCTCGAGTGCAGGATGGGTCGTCGTAGATGAATCCGAGCTGGAGGGCTAGCGAATCAAAGTTCTTGCTCGCCTCCGTGACAGCTCCCGCTGCCGCTGCGGAAATGGCGGGTTGTTGGAGGAATGCATCTATGGCGAGATCCGGTGCTTGTGCCCTCGCTTCTTGGTACCGAACGGCGAGGCCTCCCAGAGTGGTACTGACAGAGTAGAAAGCCGCTTCGCTGGCCTTAGAGTACTCGAGACTTGCGAGTGCGACGGGTTTGCGCTCACGGGTGAAACTGGCGAGAAGGTTCGGGGTGCCTTTTCCCTGGATGATGGCAGCCAGCTTCCACACTAGGTTGTGTGCATCGGCGATGCCCGTGTTGAGACCCAGTCCACCTTGGGGCGGCAAGCTGTGGGCAGCATCTCCCACAAGAAACACGCGATGCTTCGCGTCGCTATACGAGGACGCCACCCGCGGGGTCGTCTCCCAGATGGTGCGAAGAACCTCCGAGTACTGCAGACCTGGGAGGCAAGCCTCCACTGGTGGTGTCTTGCGTTGTCCGCCAGATGACGCGGGGTCCATTAAGGGCGTGACGTGGACGAAGGAGGTATCGAGATTGTTTGCGATGAACTCGCTGGGATGCTCGGGGTGGAAGCAAAAGTAAAGCATGGCCTCACGACCTGGTGGAAGCGCGGAGCGCAGGCTGGCTTTACAGACAATCGACTGGTAAGCATGGCCGGGTCCCATGGATTTGAATTCGATGCCGGCTGTCTTGTCCCGCACAGTCGAGTTGACTCCGTCGGCGCCAATGACAAAATCGGCCTGAATGCTGTATCTGTTGGCGTCGTCGCCTCGCCCAGTAGGACTGCACGAGACGACGCAGCCAGCTTCCTTCGTCTCCGTGATGTCGACTGCATCGAACTGCCACCCCCTTCTGATTTGGGCGAGCTCTGTCTCGGCCACTGCCTTCTCGAGCAGGTGCTCTAGCTCTGTCTGCGGCCAGTTCACCAAGGGTTCGGCGGCCAGGCTGCGCACCTCGTCGTCCTGGCGTTCGTAGGGGAAGCAGCCAATCTCGGCATCGGCCAGACCATAAAAGAGACGCACCGATCCGGCATCTTTGGCTGTGGCTGCATTTTGCCGGATGTAGGCAACATCCAAGTCGGCCTGGCGGAAGATCTCGAGTGTCCTCGCGTTGATGGTGTGGGCTTTGGGGTGCTTTGCTACGCCATTGCGCCTCTCCAAGACGACACACTTTATCTTCTGGTGAGCGAGGAGGTAGGCCGTGAACAGGCCAACAGGTCCTGCGCCTACAATGACGACATCCGTCTTTTCCATTCTTTTGCGTTGGTGTGAGTGGGCCGATAGCACAAATCCGGGTTGCCCTCTAGGATAAGGACGAGGAACTGTGTAAGGCTAGGTACCCAATGAAACTTGCACCCCCGGTGTATTTATTCAAAACCTACACCCAGCTACTTACTTACGCAAGACAACCAACAGCTGATTTTTAATGATTGACAACTTTGAAAAGCCTCGAGTCCAAGGCCGATGTAGTTGAAGTACTAAAACGTGTGAGCAGGGAACAAGCAGTCGGAAGTGGCAAAGCGGTTAAACAGAAAAATGTACTTGCCAACATAATAAACAGCCGACCCTAAAAGATAATCCAAGCCGGGAGATCCGGGCGCACAGTCAGTTCATCCGCGGAAGCCCGAAAAGAACGACTGGACTAGGTCGTCAATTTAAGCTCCAACCTAGTAAATATGATGCAGGTGTGCGCTCCACGTAATCGGGATGACCCAATTGTTATTGAAATATGTAGGTAATGTCGTCAAAGCAGACAATGCGCAATCTAACCTAGGCCAAAGTGGGGTAGTCCGGGCAAATGACGGATACATATTTGGGACGGATTTTGTTGAAGCGGGTAATGCAGCAACACAACCCAGACGAAAAAGTAAGGCAATCTAGGCCAAAGCTAGATACATACCTAGGACGGACTTCGCCAGCCAGATACGCGATATCCGATGGCACGTGCGTTTGGCACCCGACAAAAGGTAAGCTAGCAGATGAGGGTGTCATAACGGCGAGTTCTGGGCTGGTTGGCACGTGTCAAAGTTTGTTGATTAATAGGATATCCTTGTTGTAAGTATTAAGCCTATGTGTTTCTAAGAAATCCCCTTAACCTGCCGGTCTGCCTTTCGCTTGATGTTTAATACATGTGCCGTTGTCTTTTGCTTGTTTTGCTACCAAATCCTAGCCGGTAGGAATTCAACAGTATGATCAACTTTAGTTTGGACATTATTCCTTATGGTCAAATGAGACTCTGTGATTAGTGTTTTTGTTCTTACTTAGATACCTTAGTTGGAAACTAGTTGTTGCACTCTAAGTCGCCTCTGGATTGCTATAACGTTCCAAGCAATTAGTAGCCCTTGGATTAATGCTGGGTTCCTGCGCGTGAATCAATTAGCTTGACAAAAACTCCAGAATAATACATACCCTTAACCGTAGTCGAGTTTGAATGTTTTCCTCTAGCCGACTTATGGTCAAGCTGCACCTGAGACTAAGGATATAGTCCCCAAGGTGCTCTTCAAACCTTTTGAATTTATTCCACGTAGTTATAACAAACGCTCTTTAGGTATAATTAATCTTTAATATGTGACATGCTTTTGTTTAGCTGGGGCTCTGACAAGATATTGCGGTTGTCTCGTTTCTGACCCTTTCTATGGATGAGCACTATGGCAGGGAATCGATCAGGCGCAGCCATAGGAGAAATCAACGCCTCAATCGAGTTTCAAAGGGCCATCCGCAAAGTGCGCATCCTAACGACTGAACTCTATATTTCACGGCTGTCACTATACAAAGCGTGCTGAGATTGGCACGTACAGTTTAGATCTCGAAGCCGATGGTTATAAGAACACCAGTAATGTCAAGGCGTTACCTCAAAATGCCAGACGGTCGCGTTGCTTTGTCAGTCATTCAGCGATTCACTCCCTTCCTTCCTTCCATATATAGTTACCACCTGCCCCTAAGAAAGGGATCCGTAACAAGATCCTGACGAGTTAATTGAAGGTCGGAAGTTTATGACATAAAATATTCCAGTTGCAGGTAGAAAGGGAGGTCGTCGGTTGTTTCGGCTCCTTGAGGCCAGAGAAGAGGTTCCAAAGTAGGATCCATTTCGTTTCTTCCCAGCATTGCACCAGGATACAGCATGTTCGTCTTAAAAACCTTGATGAATCCTGCGATCATGATATCGATAAAGACCCAGAAGGAGTTTATACCCCCGTCACTGTCGGCAAAGCTCGCCTTAAAGCTCCGGATGTAGCGCAGCAGCTGACCGCAAGACTGGTGAATATACTTCTTCCAAAATTGAGTATTTTTTCTGCATCTTCTGGCGTACCGCAGGGCTCCGCTTCGGCCGAATATCTTGTTACTACTTTTTGCCCATTCGTTGACGGCATGCCGAGTTTGCCGCGGCTCTTTGGTGGACCGAGAACACCTTAGGAATTTTAAGGATCTTCTCACTCTCGAGAGTTTCGAACTCGAGTTTGGAAAAACGTACAGGGTCTCCGTGGTAGTGCTCATTCGATCTGGTCCTCGCGTGATCTAACATGCTGCAAAACGTGTCGTTGCTGGCAATGTCGGCACAGTCCACTGTCACGGTCGCGATGGTGGCCTTAAAAGACTCAATGCTTTGGATTCCAATGAACGACCCATCATGGAAAATGCGAAGGGATGCTCACTGGGACCGAGAGACAGCCGTAGCGAAAGCAACTTGCCTCGTCCTCCGAGTGAAATTAATATCGACGAGAAGGAAGCATGAGATAGCCTAATACCTTGAGGCTTGGAGTGCCGGACAAGGCTTTCAACTCCAGGATTGCCTCCCAGTGTAAATGCGACTCAATATTGGCATAGTTTAAGTAAGCATCGAGGACTTGAGATATGGGCGAATCTTTGCTTAGGCCACCGTGAGCTGCTTACTTGTCGGAACTCGCCGAAAGTTCCCACAAGACTGTTAGATGCTAACGCGAATGATGTCTGTTCAAAGTGATAGGTCTGATTTTCGTGGAATTCACCTCGGAAGTAACACTTGCGGACAGAAACCTATGATTCGTCAACTGGGTCAAACGACAAGTGGGACCTGCAGCAAGGCAACGAAACGCAAGGCAGTTTAGACCCTAGGATCGTCAGTTTGTACACGCATATTCATCAAGGCAGCGATTTTGATAGCTCGGCTGGGTTCTATTATCGACCAAATCAGACTCCGGGAAACTTGATCGGCAGTAGCTGGCGACTAGAACCTTAGAGAACAGCCCGTGCATTCCGTTGGACTCGAAAATCTGCTTTGGGCTGATCTCTGTAGGCGCCGTGACCTTGCCTCTAGACGGAAATTTGGATGGATTCGAACACACAACGCAGAGTTGGAAAAGACAAAATTGACAGCTTTCGAAAGGGGCCGCGCTTCCACGTGGATGATCAATAACAATGATCTTTGAAGGCGATTTGGGGGTGGCGTGATTGCTCAGATCCGGCTGCTTTGAGCAGGCGTAATCGGATGTTTCGTGCTCTGATGAAATTGCCAGTACGTCACCAAGAGCGAGGAGAATACATTTCTCCAGCATCCGCCGTTTAGATAGTCGACGATCAACGTGTCCTGACTCGATGCATTGTGTCTCTCAGAATTCGTCGCGCATTAGCAACGGCAATTGCAATATGTTCAGCTTCATGTCCGTAATGTGAGAAGCTGCAAAATGTCCACTGTTATTTCGGAGAGGTTGACGATCTCAGAATGAATCGAGTTAAAGGTCAAAACTTCCATGACTTGGATGGACTAAGATGACAAGATAGATTGGAAAATGGGGGCAACGATACGATGGTGGCGAGTTGTCGACGCTCTGAAAGGTCCCAAACTTTGACGATAAAAACTATGTGTGGTTCAGGGGACACTTCATCGTTGTCCATGATGGTAAAATTTGCCTTGCCTTATAGGCTTTAAGTACGGAACCTTAGTCTCAGTTCGCCAAAGTACTGTTTGATGCTTTATATCTGAGCGTCCATAGCGATCCGTCAGAATCGCATCTCCAACCACCTTATGGAACATGCGCAAGATGTATTGCCGGCTCGAATATTACTTGATCGACCGAGAGTGTCTTGCACTGTTCACGAGTACCCTGGACTTTGATCCCGACGAGCATGGAAGTCCCGACGCGGCTCAGGGCCAGCCAGATCGGGCATCTATGTTCCGACTGTCACGAAAGCCGGTAGCATTTTTGTGTACTGAGATATTCATCATCGAGGAACTGGAGGCGCATTCGGAATTGCTCTATTACACCGACACGTCGCTAGAAGCCGTGGATGAGCCGCGCCGCCTCAAAGTCGTCTACCACATCGTGCAGCTGTTCAACCGCATCCGACAAGACAATCGGTAAAGTTGTGGAGGTTCCCTCCCGAAACTTGTCACTTCCGGCAAAAGGATCACTTACATTCGTCGCCTTAGCGGTCTTGCAGACCAGAAAACGTGGCGTGGCCCCCGCCTTTTTGCCATGCCTCTGATTAGCAACAACCGCTTGATGGCATGCGCTTTACGTCTCTGTCTCTGAGAAACCTACAGCGCTCCATTCTAAGACTAGAGAACTATCTCAAGACTACGGATGTTTTAGATTATCGGGCTGGATCCGACATGCCATTTTATCACGCTTGTTGTCACCCCAGTCTCGGCGTTTTTCAATACGTGGTGAATCTGAGCCCCGTCATCATGAGCATTCACTGTGTCTTTCAAGACTCCGGAAGCATTCTGACAATAACTAGCGGCGGCGCTGACACAGCTGTGGTCGTGAGCCTGCTCATCAAGTGGGAGCCGCGGGATGCTACCTAAATGCCAAGACGTCTTGCTGCCATTTGCTACCATGACAATGTAATTCAAAAAAGTCACCATGGCCAATGTATTAAGGTTTTTCACAAGCAGCTGTGTTTTGGCTCCCGTTGTTTAAACAACGACTTTTCTTTGCTTGTTCCGAGTTAACCCACCCACCCCACAAGAGAGCCACCCCCACATCCGAGCCATCCGAAATTGCTGTATTATCAAGAACATCCCTTTTTTTAAACTATTGTAACAATTGCTATTTGTTGCTAAATAACGTTATCTTTTTGGGATACCTTCTCTATTATACTATAAAGTAATATATTAAGTTTAAGCTTTAATAAGCCCTTATAAATATAGTAAATAGTTACTTTATTTATTAAGTTATTTATAAGTAGAGTATATTATATTAGACCTTTTAGTATTAGTTATATAATAAATAAAATAAAAATATTATATAAGTTAATTATTAGTAATTATTATAGTTATAAAAAATTAATTTAATTATTTATATATTTATTTAAGTTACTTTAAGTAGTACTTTTATTTATTAGTAAATAAAAGGCTTAGTAAAGTATATAATAAGTAATACTTAGTAACTTTTAAAGAAAAAATAAATAGCTTAATTTTTATAGTAATATTTATTAATTAAGACTTAAAGATATTAATTTATTAATTTTAAGTAATATAAAGCTTATGTTATAAATATTATATAAGAATAATTTAGTTATTTAGATTTATTAGTAATTAAAGGTATTTATTTATTTAACTAATAATATAATAATATAACTTTTTTAGTTAAATAATTATATATTATAAAAGTATATAAGTAGTATTAATAATAAGGCTTATATATAACATACATACATAGTAAGTCGCTTATTATAGTAAGTCGCCTACTTCTACCTACCCTTTAGCTATTTATATAAGTCAATCAAGCAGTATTATACAAAATCAATTAAAACTACTTATTATCCTCTTCTTTAGAAGTCTCCTATACTACTTAACATATTTATACATTACATCTAGTTTTTCTATAATTACTATATTACTAACCACACAATTCATTCCCCTCTATATAAGCCTCCTTCTAGTATATATTTTTACCTCTAGTATTAATAACCCCTTTTTTTACTTAAATTACTTTAGCTTTAGTTATATTAAGTAACCCTCTAAGATATAGTTAGGTTTTTTTAGCCTTTTAGTACTTATTTAATACTTTATTTATTATATAAAGCTTATAGTTCTTAGCCTTAAAAAGAACTAATTAATATATTAACTTAGTAATACTTTTAGCTTATAAGTTAACTACTTTATATAAATATATTAATAAATTATATTAATAACTATAAATCTTTTTTTTAAGTAATATAAAGCTTTATATAGTATTATATACTATAGTTAATGTCTTTAGGTCCTAGGAGCCCTAGCTACTTAGGCGTAAGTTAGATAGTGTTAATATCTTTGGCTTAAAATCTAGGCAAGAAATAACTACTTTTAGGTTAAAAGGTATAAGGCTAGTTTATCTAAAACTAGCTTATATATTTTTTTTACTTATTAAAATAAAAAAAGCTACTGTAAAAGTAAAAAAAACTTATTTTTAGTAATATATATAATTTATATTTATATTATTTTCTTAATTTCTTTGTTATATAATACTTTTAGTAGACTAAAATAGCTAACATTAAGAGGCTAAAGCTTATGTAATAAATAAAGAGGTATATAAAGAGTAATAATACTATATTTTTTATAATAATTATTAGACTTAGTAGACTTATAGCTATTATAACTATTAAAAATTAAAAGCTATTTAATACCTTTTATATAAGACTTTATATACTTTTTAAAATACTATAGCTAATCTAAGCTAATTTTATTTATAGTTTATTTATTTTTACTAAGGTAAATATACTATTAAGGTAAGATTTAGCTATTAGTATACTATAAGAAAAGGTAATATTTACTTTTAATAATAATGTATAGAGGTAATACTTAGTTATTTATATATATACCTTAAATAATAGAAACCTATTTATAATTACTAGGCTACTTTATATAAAGCCTTCTCTTATAATTAGAAGTTATAATAACCTTTGTATATAATAGTATTCTTATTAAGAAGCCTATTTTATTAAAATTATAAATATTATTATTATAGATTTTATACTTTATAATTATATTTTATATAAAAATAAACTAAGTTTATATAATTATAGGATCCTTAGCTAATACCCTTTAATAGTTAATTTTATGTTAAAAACGCGTCTTTAGTTATAATTAGTATTATACAAAGTTCTTTACCTATTAAGGTCTAACACATATTATGTTATGTTTATTAAAGAAGTAATCAGCTATATCTTATATATCGTTAAGTCATAGTAGAAATCCTTAATTAATTAGGTTAATAACTTATTTAAGAATCACTATTTCTTCTAGCTTAGTTATCTTTATTAATTTTAGTAAGAATAACAGGGGGTTATTCATAAATAGTTACAAGGAAAAGTAGAGAAGACTAAAGGTAGACAGAAAAGGTATATATATATATTAACCGTTAAGGTATCGTTATACTTCATTGTTCTTATAAAACTGTCTAAGTAGAGGGGATATCTCTTAGTTATATAGAAAGTCCCTTAGATACGTATAGTATCTAAGTGTATATCTAAGCGTATATCTAAGCACTGAGAGGTACTTATAGTTTCTCGTATATGTATATATATGCCCGTATATGCCCGTAGAAAAGCATAAGCGCCAACATATGTAATGCTTAGAAGTATATGCGTTTATATGCAGTAGACTGCATTAGTTTGTAGTAGTTTGTATTAGTATAGTTATATATAGTAATATATACTTTGATAGGTTATTTTTCAAGAAGAATCTAGAAAAAATAACTATATATTTATAGGACTTTTAGTTATAGAGTTATAAAGAGATTTATATATAAGAATTATAAGAATTTTACTTCTTAATTCTTAGTTTTCTCCTTAAGTTATATCTAAGTTATAGATATAACTTACTTTATATAAAAACTTATAAAAACCTTATATAAAAAAAATTATAAGAAAAATAGTTATAGTTATAGTTATAGTTAAAAACCTTTAAAGGAGAAAAAAATATTTATAAAGGGGAAACCTTAGTATTTAAGCTATATTATTTTCTTTTTAGAAAGTATTTCTTTATTATCTATAGTTTCTTTAGGTAAAAACCCCTTTTTATTAAGATTTATAGTCTCTATAAAGTATTTAAATATTTCTTTATTAATAGATTTAGTAAATATATCTGCTATATTATTCTTTATATAGATATGATATAAAGAGACTTGATTATTATAGATAGCTTGTTTAGAAAAGTAATATCTTATATCTATATGTTTAGATTTCTTATGAAGCTCTAGGTTTTCTGTTATACGTTGTGCTGCCTCGTTATTTATTAAAATAATAGGCTTATTTAACGTTATATTTAACCTTAAGTTATTATATACATAGAAAAAAGAGTTATATAAGTATATAGATTCCTTTCTAGCTTTATATAAAGCCATATATTCAGCTTCACAAGTAGATAAAGCAACAGTCTTCTGTTTTATACTATTCCAGCTTATTATATTATAGTACCTTAAGATACTTATATATCCAGTAGTAGACATTCTATCGTCTAAGTCTTTAGCTTAATTAAAGTCTGAAAATATAACTAACTATAAATTAATATTCTAGTTATATATTAATCCTAGATTAGGATATTTATTTATATATCCCTATATCCTATTAAGCGCAATAAAATACTCTTTAGATAGGTTACTTATATAACAAGCACATATATTTACTAGATATGTTATATCTAGCTTAGTCTTAAGACTTAAGAAGAGTAGAGATCCTATTTCTTGTTAATATTAAGTTATTTCTTCTTTTGTTATTTGCCTTGTATTTTTCCTAAGCTTAATAGTAGGATTTATAGGCGTATTATAAGAATAAGTATCCTTTTTATTATACTTTTTTAGTATTTTATTTATATATTTGGTTTAATAAATATATAAGATCTTATTTGCTTTATTTATATATATTTTGTTTTTTAAAAACATATATAGAATTCCTAAGTCTTGTATTTATAAATCTTTATTTATATTATTATAGAAATATTCTATATCTTTATTTATAAAAGCTATTATTATTATATTGTTTACGTAATAGGCTATTATAGCTTTTATATTATTATTATTAGCTATAAAGATACCTTTATTATAAGAGGATTCTTTAAAGCCTAGTTTTATAATTATAGATCTTAACTACTTATACTAGAGTCTAAGGCTCTGTTTTAGACTATATAAGGCCTTTTTAAGTTTATAATATAAAGCTTTTTTTGTTATATTATTTATATATTCTAAGGTATTTGTTTTATAGTTATAAGAAAAACTTGTAGGTAATTTTACCTATATTTCTTTATTTATATTAGTATAGTAGAAGGCATTAGAGATATTAAATTACCTAAAAAACCAGCCTAGCTTTATTCTTATTATAAATATAGCTTTATAATTCTTAGGTTTATAGGTAGTATTAAAGGTTTCTAGATAATCAATAC